TTTAAAGCTTCAGGAAACCGGGTCTTCTAGTCTTACCACCCTCTAAAATGTTGCATTGTCCTGTGACGTCATCTGGGGGTAGAATATTGCGAAAGAACCGGCTATTCCTACGCCACTGCTTTCATGATATTAAAGTTCGTGAGAAGGTCCTTTTTCCACGCGTTTAAGCATATTGGGAATATAGGGCTAGACCTATATTTTTATAGACCAATCGGCACTTGGTGGGTAATGTGGTCAGCATCACGCCGGCCGCCGGCTGGGTCGACCTAGGAGTCAAGGCCATTTTTGGAAAAAAAACAAGTCAGGCTCCGTCAGGTAGCGAACCCACGACCTTCTGATTCTTATGCGGGCGTACTTTCATGATAGTTAAGACAAATTAAATCTAGTACCATACTTGCAATAGTCAACTCCCACAACAGAACAATGTTGCTATGTGGTAAGACATCATCATCATGAAGCAGGTTCTTTGCAGAACGTCGCTCACATCACGGTCTGCCTGAAACCCGCTTCATGCACTTCCATACTCAAGGAGTTACTTATATCCTTTGCCTATCTTCGTGTTGGTCGACCCCTGCCCCTCCTTCCTGGTACCATGCCTTCTACAATATGTTTTACCAATCCGTCGTGGCACTTGATATGACCGAAATATTTTAGCTTTTGAGACAGGATTCTGTTCATTAGCCAGTCTTCCATGATGTTCAGATCTTTCAAGATGTCAGTATTTCTTCTCTTTTTCGTCCAAGATATTCTGAGAATCTTTCTATAGCATGTCAGCTCAGAAGTCCCTATTCTCTTTCTTAAGGACTGGGAGATTTTCCACGACTCAGAAACGTATGTTGCCATAGGGAAGATGTATGCTCTCAAAATTCTAATTTTGATCTTCTTGCTAGTTCTTAACCATAGACTTTCAAGGTTATTTAATCTTTGCATTGCTATAGCCATCCCCCTTTTAATTTCTGTCAAACAGTCTCCATTTTTACCTATTATACAGCCTAGATATTCAAAGTTTGTGACATTTTCAATTTCTTCACCATTTATTGTTTTTTTTTGGGGATGACAGCCATTTTATATGTGGACATTATTTTTGTTTTCTTTAAAGTCGAGAACAGATTTTGATCTTCACTGTGCTTTTGGACAGACAATATTACATTTTCTATTCCCTTTACGCTGTTCGAAAGGAGGACTGTGTCCTCTGCGTAGCGGAGTTTCGGAATAGGGTTGCCACCATTATAGTTTCTGAGTATATATTGAATAGGTATGGTGAGAGAATGCATCCCTGCCTCACTACCATTTGCACCTTGAACCAATCGAATGTTTCACCAGTTGCTCTGATGGCTGCTTGTTGTTCTTTATAAAGATTTTCAGTTAAATGCACTAAATGCGTCGGAAACCTCATACGTCTCACAATAGTCCACAGTTTCTGATGTTGGACACAATCAAATGCCTTTCTATAATTAATGAAACAAGCATGACGATCTTATGTATTCTCTACATTAAAAAAAAAATATTTTATATTAAGGATGTGATCCCTAGTTCCTCTACCCTGTCTGAAACCCGCTTGTGCTTCATATAGCTCACACAGTAATTTCCTTTCAATCCTCTTTATAATAATTCGTTAGAGGATTTTGCTAGCATGACTTATTAATGCGATGGTGCGGTAGTGGGAGCATAGTTTCAGATTTCCTTTCTTTGGGACCGGGATTATAGACTGTTCTTTTCCATGCTTAAGGCCAAAGGCCACTGTTCCAGATCTTCGTGCACAGTGCATGGTAGATTCGGACGCTGGTCTCTCCTGCTGCTTGAATTAGTTCTGCTGGTATTTCTTGGCAACCTGGTGACTTTCCTTTCTTTAGGCTGTATATTGCTGATCGTAACTTATCCAGTAAAGGCTCTTGTTCTTTTTCATAACTTTCATACGTTGTTTTTGAATAACTTGTCAGATCCTCATACATTTCTCTATAGTACTCTTTCCATCTGTCTAATACGTCTTTAGTTTCTGTTTATTAGTTGCCGTTTTTATCACTTATTACATGAAAAGAAGGCCTGAATTCGCCTTTAAATGTTTTTATTTCTTTAAACATGTCTCTGTCTCTTCCTTTTAATCTCTTCCTTGTGGTAAGACAGAAACACGAAAAGCGAATATAACATACACTTATACACCTGTCCCTCCACGCCATCGCCCACCAACATGTGTAGAAGTTCTGTTTTTAAATGTGTGCTTCTTTTGATTTTATGTATACAGCATGACATTCGGCTCTGTGGCTAAGTCGATGCGAACGCTTCGTATTGCCGGGATGCCGGGTTTGATCCCAGCTGCGAGCCATGCGCCTTGCGTTGGTTTCGACAGTGGTATCAGGAAAGCCGACCGTCCAGAAGCAATAGCATATTACTGGACGTAAATTTGTCTAGAAAAACAACACAACAGCCAGGGGCTGTTGTGGTTGGTTCTGCAACGTCCTGTAAAGGATACGCAACTAACCAACCAAATACAGCATGACTATATTTTATAGTCCTATTGGCATTCTTGCGTTGGTTTCGACAGTGGTATCAAGAAAGCCGACCGTCCAGAAAGCAATGGCAAACTACTGGACGTAAATTTGCCTAGAGAAACCACACAACAGCCAGGGGCTGTTAGGGTTGGTTCTGCAACGTCCTCTAGAGGATACGCAACAACCTTTATTATTGGCATTCGGTGGCTGAAATGGTCAGCATCAAGCCGGCCGCCTTTACCCACCAGGACTTTACCTTGTACCCACTCAAGGCTGGGTCGACCTGAAAGCCAAGGTCATTATTAATTCTTCTTAGCGCATTATTATTATTATTATTATTATTATCATTATTATCATTATTATTATTATTATTATTATTATTATTATTATCATCATCATCATCATCATCATCATTATCATTATTATTATTATTATTATTATTAATATTATTATTATTGCCAAACACGTACCGAAGGTTTCCTAGTCCTGTTGCTATACAGTTTTTAAGGTAACTAAGCCCCTCCCCCTCCCCCATTGTTTCTGAGGGCACTCCCACTCACCCCCCTTTCCTTTCTTGTCCTCTTAAGTTAAAGTGGAGATAGTCGATTTCATTTTACCGAGTTTTATCCCATAGGGCTCGGTCTCACTCGGCAGAACGGCCAGCCGCCTGCTGAGAGCGTCGCACAAAGTACAAATTCCATAGCTTGAACGACACGACAATCCTTAAGGATTTCCGAGAAAAATTGCACTAGTGAACCGACACAACCGGGAAACGAACTCCCGACCTTCAAAGCGCAAGGCCAAACTACTTGTCCGTTTCGCCACAGAGATCCGGTTCTCTGAGTCGGTACCCTTACAGACATTCATTAACCAGTTGATGTACAGAGCAGAAGTTGAGAAGAGAAGAACTACTATATCAAATGTCAGCGAATCAAGAGGGGACAGAAACACTAAGGAAGGCAGTGAGAACGCTTAAAATATAACATAACATAACATAACATAACATAACCATTGACCCGTTGGGCTTGAAGCATGTGGATAAAGAGATAAACAGTGATCTAATTTAAAACAACCAGGGGAATGTAGTCAATTAGAAACAGGAGAATAGTATGCCGGAGATAACAGAGGCCAGGGGCAGTATGCTTTCTTTCTTGTCCTCTCATGCTTACATTTGAGCAGAGTTGCTCAATGATGTCCAGAAGCGGCGCCAAAAGGGGGGAATGCGGAAAAGGAGGGTGGGGGGGGGGGAGGATTCATTAATGGGTAGTCACTCCTCCATCCCACCTTATAAACTGTCTACAAAAATCGAGGCCTCTTAATGTTTAATCCTGGTTTCAGTACATAATAATACTAATACCATACTGAATGGCAAAAGATTGATATATTTCAAATAATTTCAGAAAGATGAGTAAATATGTTTGAAGATAATTTGTTTAGCCACTTTACAACATGTCTGGGGGGGGGGGGGGGGGCGGAATCTTTGTCTAATTTTTTTGTTTAAGGCAAGAGGGACGGGGTGGGAGGGGGGGGGGGGGGGTTTTGTTAGGGTGCCTGAGCACCCAGGCTTCTGCAAATCTTGTCCTCTCTCCCCCCACTCTCTCTCTCTCTTTATTTATGTCTCTCCATCCCCTCATTGCTCTGTCTTTCCCGTCTTCCATTTTACATGCTGTGTTTACTACGTTGTGTCACATATGGCACCTCATTGTTCCATATTGTTCACAGCACTGTTTTGCGCTGTCGATGTTCAATCAGTCGATTGATCGATCAATCAATCAGTCGATCCGTCAATCATTCAGTCAGTCAGTCAGTCAACCAGCGGATGTGGTGAAGGCTCTATGGTGTCAAATGGACAGTGCAAAAGAGCGTATAGGGAATCCATACACTGAAAAAATAATTCAGCGGGTGTGTTTAGAGATTCTAGAAGATTTTCAACATGCAAGTGGAAATAAAAGCGGACTTTTAATTAGACTGCAACTATTATTATTAGTTACTTCTCCTGCTTCTTCTCCGCGTTCACCGGCTTTAAATTCCGGTTGAAAATTCTGGTTGTTCGTCGACTTCTAAACTCTAGTCCTGCTCCAGAAACTGGGTGTTGCGTACACATCCGTTTCACATGTATGACTTATCTGCATCGATACTGTTGGTTCCTTGCCTCTCAGGCAGATGTATTTCAACTTCGAAGGAAGCTCCTATTTAGTCGACTTACGACATGCTTGTGGGCAGGAAGTGGGTCTTTTCTTGTTTTCCCATCAGTGGGGCCCCGGAACCCATACGTTTAGCTGAAAGGGTATTTTTAGCATGCCAGCTCTTTGTTGGTTACTCAAGACAAGGAGGGGACGCATGTGGGAATGGCCTAAGTGCAGTGATGTAACTTCATTCATTCATTCATTCATTCATTCATTCATTCATTCATTCATTCGTTTATTCATTCGTTCGTTCGTTCATTCTTTCTTCTATAAATCCTCATTTCCAGAGACCTAACACGATTCTCTAACTGGCTTCTCATCTCAGGTCACTGTGCCAGGGGGTCCAAGCCTCATGTGTGGGCAGGATGAAAACATACGGCTTCGACTGGCCAGATATGCTCAAGTGTGACAAGTTTCCGCTAGATAATGATATGTGTATCAAACTCATTCATGACGTCAAACGTAAGTACAGACACGCCGCTGTGGCTAACCCTCTCTCTTTGTCTCTCTCCTCTCCACACCCCCCCCCCTCTCTCTCTCCTCTGTTTTATCTCACCACATACTATTTGCACCCTCAACGATAATAGTTTTGAAACATACTGTGTTTTCCTCCTAAATTTATTACACTTATCATATTCGGTATTCTTATTGTTTGGACATGTAGCTATTAGGTTTTGAGGTTTTGAACAACATCATGACACACGGAGAGTAACTCATAAGTGCTCCATTCTTTTTCTAACTGAAGTCTGAGTCCGAAGAAGCTCAACACAGTGCACAGGTTCTGTAGCACCGGTAAGGATACTGAAATACTGGCACACGGGTAGTAACCCATACGTTCTCTGTTATTCTTCTAACTCTAATCTGAGTCAGAAAAAGCTCAGCAAAGTGCAAAGGCTCTGTAGTCAAGGGAAGGATCCTGAAACACTTTGGGTAGATTTTTAACTCCAAATTTTACCCGGGCAGCACCGTTATGCTACTTTTTTCGATTTCCAACTGATAAACTATTTTTTTTTACGTGCGCAACAATGCACACGGGCGTTCTATCTCACTACACAGAGACCAGTGGAAATAACTAGAAGTCCACGTGAAAAAATCACAAACTTCAAGGGGGCATGAACCCGGGAATTCCAGAAATTAAATATTATTACACATGTTTGAACACAGAGTCTTACGACTCAGAGTCTTTGGACTCATCAAATATGCAAACAGAAATAAATAAAGAGTGAGAAGCAGCAACGAAATTCATAATCTGTTTAACTCGCCACTGATCACTGGCATCATGAGGGCTCCTAGACTGAAATGGATGGGGCACATAGATGGAATGTCAGATGACAGAGAGGTAACCCAGTACACAAGGAAGTTGAATGGTCGTAGACCACAAGGCAGATCAAGAAGGCCATGAAGAGATAAAATACACACAGACATGCAAACACTTCAAGTCACTAACTAGAACGAGAGGGCCAATCACAGAGATGTATGCAGGCGGTGATATCTGCAGGAATGAACCTCGACGGCCTCGGATGCTGAAGATTATATTATTATTATATTAAATTAGGATTAGCCTCTTTGAGGCGCCAACCCCTTAACTTTGCTAGAAAATGTGTATGGTAACCATAACCCACACCTCCCCCAACTACTCCTGCCTTCCCCTAATATTTTTCTGTGTCAGCGCACCTACTAGGTTTCTATCATGCAGTCTGCAACATTCACCAGCCCCAGTTAAAACCAGCAGACAACATCGAAGCTGAGGGAGAAGTTCAATGGGAGATGCAATTTCAGATAGTGCTAACAAAGTTCATTTGCTGAAGTCATCCATGTGTTGGTGGAGAATTTACACCTGCAGCCCGTGTTATTCTCACCAGGGATGCCCACATTTTTGGGGAATGGTACCAAATATTGTGTGTGAAAAAGGTACCAAAGCACACCGGAAGTTGCCAGATTTTAAATTTTTTAAACATACATACATACATACACACATACATACATACGTACGTACATACATACATACATACGTACATACAAACATACACACGTACATACATACATACGTACGTACATACATACATACATACGTACATACATACATACATACATACGTAGTACATACATACATACATACATACATACATACATACATACATACATACATACATACATACATACATACATACATACATACATACATACATACATACATACATACATACATACATACATACATACATACATACATACATACATACATACATACACACATACACACATACATACATACATACATACATACACACATACACACATACATACATACACACATACACACATACATACATACATACATACACATATACACACACATACATACATACATACATACATACATACATACATACATACATACATACATACATACATACATACATACATACATACATACATACATACATACATACATACATACATACATACATACATACATACATACATACATACATACATACATACATACACACACACATACATACATACACACATACACACACATACACACACACACACATACATACACACACAGACACACACACACATACATACATACATACATACATACGACTGGCTTACTGTTTACATGTATTTGATAAGAACTGAAATTTGTCCATTTACAGACATGATTTGATTTGATTTGATTAAAATCAAACAATGTCTGATTTGATTCAAGAACCGACATCAGAGCACTCGGGGCATTCCCATAAGCGCTCCGTCCGCATCTTCAGCAGCCAGCGAAGAGTTCCGATACTAATGGTGACAGTAGCTTTTTGATTAAACGTCCGTCTTGCCTTACCTCTGAGCCTTGAGCTTCTGCCAGAACCTTTCGTCACCCCCAACTGCATCAATCTCACCAGACTGTGGTGATCAATATGCTCCTCCGCATTGTACACGCTCTCCCACAAGGCACTAACCACGTCTACCCTATCATGTAGCAGTATTCCACCAAGCGAAGCATGCCACTCTGCACGAAGCATACCTGTTCTGATCTTCCCTAGCATGCTTTCTGAATCAATTACAATTACAATGTGTGTGTGTGTGTGTCGTGTTCTCTAGCCAGCGGAAAGCTGCAGTGACCGCCTCCACCTCCATTCTTAAGCTGGATTTTGTGGTATCATATGCTAAGCTCTCCTGTACCAAACGTCGACCATTAACTTTTGCTAAAAAGCCCCAAGCACTTCTTTTGCCTCTTGACACTGAACCGTCTGTGTAAATGATCAAATCCTCTGAGCGAGCATTATCTTGAATTAATTGCTGAATTTCCACCTCTGTGGCACCTGCTGGCCTGTCTCTGCATTCCCGGCTCAGCGTGATTATGACTCTACACAAGTCTGGCTGTTCAGGTAGCACTTTGACCAACTCCTCTCCTCGCCTAATGTTCTCAAGGATGCAAACCTGTCTGATTGTGTCTTCTGCCTGAGCCATCCATGACCTCCCTCTTATCAGCCGCTAACCCTAACTGCACCCAGAGCTTCATGCAGAGGGTGGTCTGTGTCTGCAGCTACCCTGAGATATGACTTCGCCTGCATCACCTTGTGCCTACCTGCAACCGTCGGCAAACCAAGGATGTATCGCATACACACCACTGGGGTATCTCTGGTGCAACCCAGAATGACCCGCATAGCCGCGTTCTGTATGCGCTCTAGTTTGTCCATCTGACTCTTTGAGACGGTAAGCAGTCCCAGGCCATAATCCACCACTGACAGGATCAGGTGCTGATATAGTTTGAAAGCATTCCCTGTTCTATGTCAATTGCAGCCATAGTCTTAGGTGCACTAAGTCCTTCTTGGCATCTCGTCACAACACTCTCCACATGGTCCTTAAATGACAGGCTCCTGTCAAATGTAATTCCCAGATACTTCAGTTTGCTCTCTCTGTTGACGTCTCTACCATTTATCGTGAGACTTGGGACATTAGTTTTAACGATTCTGTTGTCCAGAGAACACCACAAAACAGACGCCTTTTCCGGGTGGACGACAACCTTCATTTCTGAACACCACTCAGTCACTTTGTCTACTGTCGCTTGTAGCTCCAGAGCTGTTTGTTCCCTCTCTTCCCCCTGCCTATATGCAAGTATATCATCCGCAAAAGTCAGTATCCTTCCAACTCCTGGTGCTTCTAGGCGTGCAATCTTGCTCGTATACACGTTGAAGAGCACAGGCGAGATGGCGGATCCCTGTGGCAGTCCTGGGGCCAAAGTGCATGGTTCAGAGGTCCATGAGCCCAATCGGCGAGCAACCCGACGTGAATACAGGACAGCTGCAACCCAATTCACCAGCCATGGATTGACCTCCTTCTCTCTCAGTGCAGTCATTAAGATGTCGTATCTCACTCTGTTATAAGCATCCTCGAGATCTAGTCCTACCGCCATAGTTTCCTGTCAGTTCTGGAACCCTTCATAGACGTCAAAAGCAAAAGTGGCCGCATTTGCCCAAGTGTCCTTTCATCTCCTGTAACTATCCAGACCTCTTGGGAGAAGCTTCTCCCTTCCCAAAAATTCTTGTAACTTTACAGCAACTATCTTCTCCAAGACCTTCCCAAATGTGTTTTGTAAGGTGATGATTCTAAAGCCACTAAGCCTAGAATGATCTTTAAAAGGTTTTGGTAGTGGGATTAGATAGCTGTGCACCCAGTCTTGCGGTACTGATGCTGTCTTAATACTCTGGTTAAAACAGTCGGCCATCTCTGCCAGGTCTACATCGCTCAAAGCCTTCATGTGACCATACCTGACATCATCAGGCCCTGGTGCAGTGTCTTTTGCTTTTTTCAAAATTTGTTTGATGTCTTCCACTTGTATCATGTCTTCATAATGCATATTCTATTACAGACAACAAACCATTAAAAATATTTGTAACCGTGAGCAACTTAAATGGAACTTTTTTGTCATAAGCAGCTGCTAGCTTATGCTCACCCCCCCCCCCCCCACTTTTTTTTCCTTCTTTCTTATGAACATTATCTTTGTAAATTTTATTTTTAAAAATCTGAACCAGCATTCGTATTTTTTATACTCGCTTTTTTTTTTGGATTCCTAAACTTAAACAACGTCAGGAATGTATTGCCAAAATGTCACAAAACACTTGGAAATAAAACTGAATTAGAAAAGTTTGAGCATCAAATAAACTGGAAGGTTAAAATGCGACAAAAGACATGAAAGAGAAGTATCTGCCAGTTAGCTGGACGAACATTTCTGCACTGGTCTTTGAAACCGAAACACTCGCCAATCCTTTACAGGACGTTGCAGAACCAACCCCAGCAGCCCCTGGCTGTTGTGTGGTTTTTCTAGGCAATTTACGTCCAGTAATTTGCCATTTCTTCCTGGACTGTCGGCCCCCTGATACCACTGTCGAAACCAGCGCAAGGCGCATGGCACCGCAGCTGGGATCGAACCTGGCACCCCGGCATTACGAAGCGTTCGCATCGACTTAGCCACGGAGCCGACGGCAAGAATGAATAGATAGGTTATGATAAAACAAGCACAAAGTATTGATAATAAATATTCCTTTATTCACAGCTGATAACAACTGCACAGCCTGCAAGCATCCACTGACGCACGAATCCATGATCGACCAGTTTTGTCGCTCCAGTATAGGTGGGTCAGTCAAGTGACGTTTGCTCTCGTCTATATGTCCCTTGCATACAACTCTGTGATAATTGAACACTTTTATATGGCTTTTTTGTACTTGTATGTGTCAGCGTCTGTGGCTGAGGCGTTTCGAGTGCACTTCATAAGTGGGTTCCATCCCAGCGGTGGACGATTTTTTTTTTTTACAAATGAAAAGGAGTGGACTCGAAAACCTGGTAACACCTGACAAGATTTGGAAAAAGAGCAATAGGAAGGCACAGAGATACATATCTCGATGGCCTTGCCTGATTAATGTAGAGATCACTTTTCACGCCTTTAGGCGCATCGGGCATATGGGAAGAACACCCATATATTTACAGACCAATCACTAGGATGGAAATGTGGTCAGCATTACACCGGCCGCCTTTACTTTCCCAGGACTTACATCCTGATACCCATTTTAGGCTGGGTCGACCTGTGACGCCCCATACCATCATAAAATCAACGCAGTCAGCAGTGGGATTTGATCACGGTACGTTGGAATTACGAGTCGGACTCGCAACGCCTACGCCGCAGCCTGATGGATGTGGCGAGACAAAAACATTGAACTGATTCGTAATTCTGGTGATCATGTGAGATGGGGAAATATGACAGTCCACGCTTACCGGCACGGTACATGATGATGATCGAGTTTGGAGTTCGTTTTGTGTATGTGTTTGTGTGTGTGTGTGAGAGAGAAAGAGAGAACGAGAGAGAGAGAGAACGAGAGAGAGAACGAGAGAGAGAGAACGAGAGAGAGAGAACGAGAGAGAGAGAACGAGAGAGAGAGAGAGAGAGAGAGAGAGAGAGAGAGAGAGAGAGAGAGAGAGAGAGAGAAAGTTTGTCTCATCTGGCTCCAGCCTTGTTATCACAAGAAGCCGGTTATATGGGAAAACCAGTGCAAGGAAGTCGATGTTCTCTACTTTATGTACTGTGTGCCCTCGTATTTGCACTCGAAGGAGAATCAATTGCATGTATATATTTGATATGTTTACTGATGTATGTGACTTTCGCCTGTGTCTGTGTGACGTCTGCACGGCGTATGTGTCGTTTGCACTAATATATTCTTTCTTCAGTAGCAAATTTATGATGTTTGATAATTACATGTATATCATTAAATAGTAAAGTAAAACAAGGGACCCGTTTTTCACGCCTTATGCCGTATTTAGCATCAAGAGCTTGATCTATTTTTTTAATAGACCAATTGCCCGGCTCTCTAGCATAGTTGGCTAAACCGGATTGCGCGGTGACCGGGTGACGAACTCCTTGTGGTCCGGGTTCACTCCCGGGGGTAGGCAGAAAAGCGACATTTCTCCCAGATTTATGTTATTTACAATGGAATCAAGGCCGAAAAGTTGCGATATTCATAATACCGAGCCTAAGGGTTAACAACTCATGGCTTCTGGATACTAAAACAAACAAACAAACAATAAACCAATTAGCACTTGATGGGTGATGTGGTTAGTCAACATCACGCCGATCGCCTTTACTTCCTAGGACTTTATCTAGTTCACATTTAAAGCTGGGAGAGTTGGTAGTTATTTTAATCTCTTCGTGTCTAACACGATCTCTTCTGGTTTTGTTGGCAGCCTTTCTCAAACATATCATTCCGTAGGCGGTTAGTTTTCTCTCTGCTTACACCTGCTAGAAAAAATGAACCTGTTGTCTTGTGAGAAAGGGGTTAGATCACATATTCTTTCCTATTTTGGGGCGAACTGACACTATAGAACTACTTATTGAATGGGCATATTTCATTAATACTTTCGGTACTAAAAGGGTTTTAACAGCATTACATGAAGGGGGATGGACATGGTTAAAATAATCTTAAACTATCAACATTTAAAGTGAAGTTAGGTTCACTTCAAGCCCCCCCCCCCCCCCAAATAGTAAAAAAAGTAAAGTAAAGATGCCTTTACACGAACTTAGGCGCATCGGGCATATCGGAAGAGCACCCATATTTTAACAGACCAGTCGGTACTCGGTGGGTAGTGTTGTCAGCATTACGCCGGCCGTCTTTACTTCCCCAGGACAGCCCCGAATAGAGAAGGTCACATTTCATCAAAAGTTTGTTGGACTGGTCGACTTTCCTGAAGGTTACGGGTGTGTCCCGCTCTATTGCTTGCTTTCTGTGATATCTTGCTTTTACGAGAAAAAGAATGCCTGTAACATAGGTTGCAGCACTCTCGAAAAAAGGGGGGGGGGGGGTGTGTTGTGTTAGGACTAGTTTCTTCATATTTTTCGAGTGTTAAAAACTCTGGCGTGCTGAAATATACATCACGCGATATCAACGGTATTGCGGAACACCCCCGTAGCCTTGTGCCAATGTGGTAATTTCAGAAATTACCAGTCAGAAGTGAGCTTGTGTGTATATGTGCGGGGCATGGGGAGACAAACGTTACTTTTACCCAAACCGGCTATAAACACAGCGATGGTGACCATTTGAATAGGTAATATTATTGTAAAGCATGTTCTGACCAAGTATAACCGTTAAGAGCGCGCCTTAAGCTTTGGAGTGAAATCAAGCGGTAGTCATTCACACATCGGGTGTTGCTAGCGGTTAAAAGAGCTAAGCTATAAGTAGCTAAACGTTGCCAAGAAAACAGCCAGTTCTCTTTCAGCAATGCATCTGTCCCCTCCTTGTTTCATTAATGGGTGCTCTTTTTAACACTATCAGCCACCTCTTTTGTCGGGAGTTAATATGTCGTGTTAATGGATTATAAAAGCAACAATAGACGTCACTGTGAACACATAAGCCACATTTCCGGTTCATGCCAAATACCGGAGTCATGTGTTATTTCCGGACAGCAGACATTTCCGTCTTCTATTTATTTCTCACTTTCTAATTGTTTCGATGTGTTCCTACGCAACATATCTACAGGCATCGGGGGAGACAGACAGACAGACACACACACACACACACACACACACACAGAGAGAGAGAGAGAGAGAGAGAGAGAGAGAGAGAGGGGGGGGGGGTCGGCTAAACAAATTTATGGGGAACTGAATTCCTAAAAATTCAATTTTATCAGGGGGTTTAGGTGCCCCGTCTTGTATGGAGGTTAATTTTTAAGTTTGTGTTTATGCATATATTCATCATCATCATCCTGTAACACTCTGTGTGGTTGGGTCACCAGTTACCGTTGACTGCTGTAACTATGATATATGGCTATACGGTTGAAGCATGTTTCTGAGATTTGTAGCTGTTTGATTCTCTCTCATCCTTAATTAAGACTTCAGTCCTGCAGAATACAAATTTGTAGGGAAAACATTGGAAAAGGAAAAAAGGAACAGACAATCTGCTAAATCTGAAAACAGGATTGAGGCAAATAGGATATCTAACAGAAACCCTAAAGGGAATGTTGCTGAGAGAAGCCAAAAGTGCTGACCGAGATTCCATCCACAAAATCGAAATGAGGTTATTTTTATGATGGTCTTCCCATTTGCACACTACCAGTTGTAGGTCAACTCTATTGATAAGTTGGTTGGACTAGTCTACCGTGGTCGAGGTTATAGGTGTCGCAGTCTGTTGTCTGCTATTTACGTTTTTATTTCTGAGAAAGAGACAGCTTGTGACCTAGGTTTTGTCACTCTCTAGGGGGTTGTGTGTTAAACCCAGTTTCTAAATGTTTTAGAAGTGTTAAAAGCTCTGGCATAGTGAAATATACAACACGCAGTACGAGCGCGAGTTCGGAATATCCTCATGACCTTGTATGAACGTCGGATCGCTCGAGGCCGACCTATCAGGAGTGAGGTGGTCAGTAGGTCGTCCAATCAGAAGCGAGCTAGTGTGAAGCCGTGTGCAAATGGGGAGACCAGCCTAAAAAATAAAAACCCCAAATGATTGTAGAGAATAGGCATCAGAGCTAGACTGCCAGCCATGTTTGACATATAATGTCAGGATGGACTGACGATAATGGCAATGGTCAGTTTTGAATTTGGACAGCTGCACTGACAAGACTGTGGACGATCTACTGCGTCTGTTCTCGAAATGTCGCGTCAAAAACCCAGTTCTTGGCACTGTATGAACTGCGTAAATCTACATTTTACCGGGAAAGCCCAGATGAAGCAATAGACAAAGAATACATTAACAGCATACACAAAAATTGATACAAGCCATGCTGGCAATATGTCAAAGAAATAACACTGTATGCGATAGGGTCTGAAAAGGGCGTGATAACCTAGGCCACGCAGCTTTTACCTGAGTAATAACAGGTAAATGAAATGCCAAGGTAAAGGACCTTTGCATGCGTTTAGACCAGCGGCTCCCAACCTCTCTAATAATGCCGCGACCCTTTAATACACTTTCCTCGTGTTGTGGTGACCCCCAAACAATTATTTTCCTTCATAACGCCAATGAATATGTGTTTTCCGATGGTCTTAGGCGACCCTTTATGAAAGGGGCGTTGGACCCCAAAAAGGGTCACGACCCGCAGGTTGAGAACCACTGGTTTAAACTCTAAGTAAAAGTAAAGTTCCCTTTTCACGCCTTTCGGCGCATCGGGCATATGGGCAGAGCGTCCCATATTTTTACAGACCATCAGCACTCTGTGGGTAATGTGGTCAGCATTACGCCGGCTGTCTTTACTTTCCCAGGACAGCCCATCCTGGTACCCATTTTAGGCTGGGTCGACCTGCGACGTCCCCATACCACGATCAAAATCCGCGCAGCCAGCAGTGGGTTTCGATCGCGGTATGCTGGCTTACGAGTCGGACTGGCAACGCCTTAGCCACGGACGCCGCTTTAGACTCTAGGTCCAACCAAAGTGCTGCGACACAACCCAGTTTTCTGTAACATGTCCCTGTAACAAGTATCTAAATCATGTATCTAAACATGCATCTATAACATGGCCTCAGGACCCCCCCCCCCCCCCCCCCCCCCCCCCTTTCACATTTCTAGCGGCCAGGGAGGAGCTCCTGTTGTTTAATTTCGTTATTCCAATCTGTATTATTTTTTCGGAAACTGCCCGCCACCATCACAGTTTTCTGCAGACCACCATAGGTCAGAGCCTATAAAAGTTACAGTAATAACAATGCGGGGTAAAGTAGTAAATCTAAAATTCGGGATTGTGAGTTAACTTGACAGCTACCTGCGATAGAGAGTCAGATATATGTTCACTTCCTCATCGACTTTCGACGTATGGGACCTATACTATCCGACCTTATGACCTTCTTCTTTACATCCTCTTTTACCGCTTACTTTGTCGAGGAAGATATAAGGTCCTGCTTCGTGCTTTTCTGGATACTTGGACCAAAGACACATCGTGGTACTGTAGAGTTTCTCTGATGTTTTCCTTCCATTTGTTCTTGGTCTACCTCTTGCTCTACGTCCCTCTTCTCTTTGCCTTGAATGGTAATGCATTAGAAGGCATTTTCTCTCTAAGTGGGCAAACCATTCGATTTGCGACCACGAAAACAAAAACTAAGTGAAAATAGGCAATAAGGGAAGATAACTACATGGAGTTTTAAAAAAGTTCACAGAACTGATACCTGAAGCGCAATAGGGTCTAATTATACATAGGTAGTTTCAAGTTTGCCCTAGAGCAAGAGGCAGACCGAGAGTACGATGGATAGACAATATATCAGAGATCCTGAGGCAACACGGACTAACAACAACACGTGCAACACACCTGGCCCAGGATAGAAAACTGCGACTCCCCACTACGCTGTGAGGCTATTGTGGACAGGACAAGACAGCACAAGACAAGACAAGACAAGACAAGACAAGTTTCAAGTTTTGTGATTTCAGGTTAGTCACTAACCTATGTAACATAAACTGGCACAACGGGATATTGAGGATGATGGTCATATAATCAACATCATCAGCCTGCAGGTCTTTAACAGAATATCGCTCTCATGTCGGCTCGCCTGAAAGTCTGCATTTTTCTAGCTAGCTCTCCAGCCCTATGTGCTTTCGTAGCCAATGTATCTTCATAAAAACTTCCGTTGAAGACGTTTAACATGGCCGTTTAAGGGACGTGATGCTGTTTATCAGCCAATTCTCCTCCATATTCAGATCGTGTAGGGTGTCGTGATTTTCTTTTCTGGGTACATTTTATTCTGGGAATGTTTCTGGAACGTTTCAGTTTAAAAGCTCCGATGTTTTTTTCTTAAAGGCTAAGAATCCCTGACTCACAGTGATAAATTATCACCTGGAAGATATATGATCTCACAGTTTTAGCTTGCTTGCAGGTGCTCTGCTATAGGCTCTTTACTCTTTCAGTCCCAAGGAACGCATTATACTTTCATTGATTCCTACCTAGAAGCCCAGTTAACGAAAGATGCGCCGATTTTACACCTCTCTTCACTACCTCTTGAGCCTCTGTTGCTAAACCAACGGAGACTCAAAGATTTCATGCTGTTTAGTCTCTGCATGATCGAATTATAATAGTATATTAATCACCTGACTAATTCATTCTGTAATGTTGTGCTGAGCGTTGTATAGTAACTAATCTTATTTTAGCCACCCAACTAATTTAACGTCTTATCTATTGTCATCCTCAGCCATGCGAGTCAGCATTAAAGAGTCCAAGGACGTCAACGGGCACAAGGAACTTGTACTGCAGAAAAAGAAGACCTTATTCAAGCACGACGGACTGACCGAAAGCCAAGTGCGTAATCTTCCCGCCATCATTGACGGTGGCGCCAACTGTAACTGCGATAACATCAACGAAACCAAAGGACGCTATCTGCTCATGGGCAACAAACGCGGGGAACAGATGGTGATCACTTTCGGAATGGTCTGGAATAGAAAAGATAAAGAATTCAAGAAAGGCATCCACGCAATTCAAAAAGGAAATACGTGTGAAGGCATCTTCCGGGAACTGTCCGCTAATGGAGTAGATTCAAAACCTCAAACGACTGCTGGGAAAGTTGACAAGACGAAAAAGTCCAAAGACAAAAAGGAGAAAAAGGGCAAAAAGGGTAAGGGGAATAAAGGCAAAAAGAAAGGGAAAAAGAAAGGCAAGAAGGGAAAGAAGGGAAAGGGGAATAAGAAGAATAGGGATAAAAAGGGAACGTCGCCAGGTAATAAAGAGAACAAACGAGACAGCGCGTCCAAATCTGAGTTAGAAGACAAGGCTTTGAACAACTTCATGAAAGCTGCCAATTGACTGGCAGGCCAATCTCCCGGAGAATCGATTATCGATGTCATCGATTCCTTTGATACTGTGTGAAGTTTAAGTGAATACGAATGTAACAATACAATTTCTTACAGATTATTTATCTGTGACAATTGAAACACGGGATGGAGAAAGTAAAGAAAGTAAATCGTTTTTTGCGCGGAGATTGGAGCCACCGAAATTTTTTTGTAGATACGCGGGTTATGTTTTCTTTGACCATCGGGAGTGTTTTCTTGACCGTCGGGAGTGAACTGTGGTTTAAGAAACTTAGGAAGTGTGAGACTCTGAACCCAGCAGATTGTATTTGGACTAAATAAGGAAATGTTTTTTTTGGTCACATGCAAAATTAAATACCTGACGATTATACTTGCATAAAATATATGAACAATGTTTTCTAGCACTTTTGCTTTGACAACTCTGGAAGTTCGCAACCGAACGGCGGATGCAAACATTGACTCTTTCAGCTGCAGACAAGCATTTGTGCTTCTTGTTCATTCTTGAGGATTTGTTGCTTAGAACAGCAGCAGCCTGCATCTAAAAGGGTTCAAAAGATGCTGAAGTAATAGCTCAAATGATTCAATATTACAGCTGGCACGGACACAAAACGGTGATCCCAACATATCATGTAAAGGAGATCTGATAAACGTATGGTGTAATTCTTTGTATTGCATGTGTTAACTGACCTTCCTATGTGATGTATTCTGGAAAGCAGAGCCTTTTTAACAAAATTATGGACCCATGGTCAAACCAGTATGCTGGGGCCTTATGAGAACTGCTCACAGGAATAAAATTTGTTATTGATGGCAAGTCACCTGATATACACAGATTAGCCCGGTGTCATGACGCTCGTTGGGCCTCCGTGCAAGTACCCTAGTGTCCATGCGTTAAGACGGCTCTGGCCGAAGGTCGAAGACGACATAGGAAGGTGCATGAAAGAGTGTGTCATGAAGAGCAGAACAGCAGTCTTTTAGGACACCCTTACCCATCCAGGACTACAGATTATATTAGCCTGGAGTAAACTGTACAGGTGCCCTGATGATAACTTCTCCGGAGATTGAATGGGACATCTAGGATTGGCCCAGTTGGCTTGCCGGCTAGACTGAGAATTTTTAATCGTATGATTGTAACTCTTTCAGATAGCAGACTGGAGGGGAGAGAAAAGAAATCACACGAAGCGAGCAAAAACTCGCAACAACGGAACAAAATAACTAAATGCTGCGAGGATGTTCCATCTGGCCTGAACTATTCATTACTGCTAGCGATCTAGTCAAGTGAAAGATCCAGCGAAAACATCCCTTATGACATGAGGATGAGGTAATACCTGATGTCTTCCTTGTAATATAAAGTAAAGCACTCTTTGTTCTCAGAAGTTTGGAGAAAACAAATGTGTAACCTAAAAGACGAATTTCTTGGTTGCTATTCAAACAGTGCAAGTGCTTTAAGCATAAACAATTGTGTAACTATGTGACTGGTATTTCAAGAGAAAGTACTCCTGTAGTGTATTTCTAGTGCCTCCCAGGTGGGGAAGGAGTCGTAACATTGAATCTGTAGAAGACAACTCTTGTACGTCAGCGAGCTTTCTATTTTTCCAAGACATGTGGATACTGTCAGCTTGTTTTGCTGTTTGGATTGCCACAGCCTGTTCATTTGTAGTATCCTGTTTCGAGTAAAACGTTGGCGAAACGAAACACTAAGCTACATAAGTCTGTAATCAATGTTTTTGAATCTTGCTGCTGTTTTGTTAACACGTATCGCAGTAATCGCCTTATTGTTATGTCTGCAAGGAGTAAGGTTGTAACTTTATATGTTTCCACTTAAAAATAGGTAGACCACAACAGAACGCATCTTACAAGCACATAAATAGAAATGTGACATGACCTGGGTGATATACACACAGACATGTCTGACAACCTGGCATACGTTCATTCATACATACATACAAGCATGTGCAAACCTTAGTAAATATAATGTTTAATCTATTAGCTGTTCGTCCATCATGAGCGATAAAGACCAGACTTCTTTCATCTGTCGGGAAACTAGTTGAATGTCTGTAAGTCCGGAGATGACTTGTAAGTCCAGCACGAGCTCTGAAGGATTTAGGAAGTGGGGAAGATAAAGGGCCTGTTATATGGGTCTCCCTAGCCTGTCTTCACTGTTCAACTGCCCCTTTTCTAGATGCCTCTCAAGTCAATGAGCCTTTTCTTTATTCTGTAATGGGTTCCTGGAGAAACCATCCAATTCGTTTTAAGGGCTAGTCCTTCGCAGCGCTATGCCGGCAAAAAGGCCGAGGAAACCCACGCACCAGGAGAATTCAGCGAAGGACTAGCCATCGGGACCCTACCTCTAGAGACCAGCCCAGCAGGTGTAGTATGGAAGATGAGCGAACATCATACAAAACAGAACAGATAGGGAAGTTACGAGAACAAACACTCTACTTGTAGCCTTGATATTTTAGGTTGAACGAGGTCAATCTACAATGAAAATAATAAAGGGAGTTCCTGAGAATTATTGAAAAGTAAAAGTTAATTTTACGACACTGACCCCATCACCATCAAGTGCTGACTTGTCTGTAAAAATATCAGGTTTGCACTATATGTTTAAGCCAGACCGTTTTTTTTCCCCTTTCAAATATCACTTTGGCTTCCATGTCGGCCTAGTTTTAAATGGGTAGCAGGTAAAGTCCTGGAAAGTCAAGGCGGCTGGGGTGATTTTGACCACATCACTAATTGAGTGTTGAATAGGGTGCTTTACTTTACTTACTATATATCTGGTGAATTTATAGGGGACAAAATGAACCTTACCCTTTGATTTACGAGTTTGTACGATGGGGTTTGAAATAATCTTCGATGTGTGATAGAAATGAACATAACTATAACGTTGTCTTGTCACCTGTTAAAGATGCCAGGAGTGTTAGGCACTTGACATTACTGTGCAGACGAACACGTCATACTAACAGTTTGAAGATGGCCGCCCTACTTTTGACATGCACCAAAAAGGAGCAGCTTTCTGTTATGTCTTTTTTTTTTTTTTTTTTAATCAGTGAAAGTATAAAACCTGTGCACATTAACTGGCATATAATAGTCCAGTATAGTAATACATGCGCGTCGGTCGTTTCGTCCTTTCACTTACCCCCCCCCCCCCTTTTTCCAATAGAATAAAAAGAGAGGAAGGGGGTGGGGCGGGGGAGTATAACGCTGCTCTTTTCTGGAGCATGTCAAATTTTGGGCGGCATCTCTTGACATCCTTAACAACAGTTGACAGGGTACAACACAGTGTCATGATTATTGTAATTTCTCACATTCTTAAGATTTTGTCGGCGTCTCTGGCTTAGGCGTTGCGAACGTGCTTCGTAATGCCGGGGTGCCGGGTTCAATCCCAGCTGCAGGCCCTCGCCTTGCATTGGTTTCGACCAGGTCCGGCTGTATATATAAATAGAGAAGGCCGTGGTTTCGACGATGGTATCTAGAAGCCGACCGTCCAGCAACCAATGCCAAACTACTGGACGTAAATTTGCCATGAAAACCACAATAGCGAAACAAAAATGTTTGGATTGGTTCTGCAATGTCCTTTAAAGGATACGCAACTAACTAACTTGAAGTATTCATTTGAAGCTCCTTCGTATTCTTTGCTGTTTGTACTTTGGGCTGCGAGAAGGGCCCAGCTACAATAGGTTCCAGCATGTTATCTGCAAGGTACAGAAGACTAGCCTGTTATTGACCACGCCAAATATTACGTGTCGACTTATCTGTAAACATATGTATGTAAGAAGTAAAGTAAAGGACCTTTTTCAACGCTTTCGGGCGTATTGGGTTAGACCGAAATTGTATAAGCTAATTAGCGCTAGGTGGATGATGTAGTCAACATTAGCGCTAGATGGATGATGTAGTAAACATTAGCGCTAGGTGGATGATGTAGTCAACATTAGCGCTAGGTGGATGATGTAGTCAACATTAGCGCTAGGTGGATGATGTAGTCAACATTAGCGCTAGATGGATGATGTAGTCAACATTAGCGCTAGGTGGATGATGTAGTCAACATTAGCGCTAGGTGGATGATGTAGTAAACATCATGTTGGCCGGCTTTACTTCCTGTGATATTACCTGGTACATTTTTTATTCTAGATCGAGTTTTTTAATACAAATCTGGCTCGATGCGCATTTGAACCTACAACTTTTAAATCCACAGACGATCATCTAGCCGCTACACCACCGCGGCACTCAAGAAAAATAGCACTATAAACACGTCGGGAGCCGCAAGTTGCTGGTAGCAACATGTTGCGGAGCGGAAGGTCTTGGGTTCGGTTCCTGACGAGGACCGGATTTGTTCCAAAAATAACCTTGGCTTCCCAGTCGATCCAGCCTGGAGTGGGTACAAGGTATAGTCCTGGAAAGAAAAGGCAGCCGGCATTATGCTGACCACATCACCCACCAAGTGCCATTCGGTCTATAAAATATAGGTCTAGCCCTATACACCCATACGCCTGAAGGAGTTGAAAATGGTCTTTTACTTTCACTATAAACCTGTTAGGTCTCAGCGCATGGAAACATACAATTTAATATGTATTTATTTTAAAACGTGTGCTGAAGAATATTCTATCAGATTACTTAACTTGGCAACGGTAATGTGGAAGTCAAACAATACAAACCATTCGTTTCGTTTCTTAACAACAACCGACAGATTAGATAGCAGCTTTTGATGTGTAATAATAAATACCCGTATATTTTAAGCAATGGAGAATATCAATATTTTTGCTGTCCGAACCTTTATGTATGCAGAAGTTAGATATAGTGGCTCGGAATTCTATAGGTATTGATAAGGGTTTCAGATTCAACGCCCGTTAAGGTGATGTTTTTTTTTCTGTTAGGAGCAAAATCAAGCATACTAACCTGCACAGTCCGTGGCGACTGCACCAGCCATGCGACCGTAAATCCTCAGGATCCGGCTGTCTACATTGCTCTAAAAAGTAGTACTTACAGATCGATCGATAGATA